CCGGCGCCGCCGCCCTCGCCTTCGTCGACGTCGTCCTCGGCGCCCCGGGGACGGCGAGACTGAGGAGCGCGGTGGCAGATGTAGAAGCCGCGGCGGACGCCGGAGCGGTTGGCGGCAAAGCGGCTGCCCTCCACTGGGGCGCCCGCCGGCCCGGTCACGTTAGCGGCCTCGGTGCCTCGCTCGCCCTGCACCACGTCGAATTCCACCGTCTCGCCGTCGCCCACGCTGCGTTGGTACTTGTGAGGGTTGTTCCGGGTGATGGCCGTGTGGTGCACGAACACGTCTTCCTCCGTATCGTGTCTGCGGATGAAACCGTATCCTTTCTTCACATTAAACCACTTCACGGAGCCACGCACCCCCTTGGCGACGACCTTCTTGGGCGCCTTTTTCCTGGCGCCCGCCGCCGCGGTGGCCTCAGAGATCGCGTCGCCGCTGAGGTTGCTGGCCACCAGGGCCCGGGGAGAATCTCCACTTGCCAAGGACAAGTGATCTTTCCGCGCGGCTTGAGGGGAGACTGAGGCGTCCCCCTTCCTGAAGGTGGCCTCTCCTGCTTCACTCATGAGGCCTTCCTTTCTCTTCTTTCTCAAAGAAATATGCGGGAACTCTGTCCCGGGTGGGGGTTGGGGGGGGTGAGGGAGGGGATAGGTCTGCAGGCCGGAGCCTAGCTCTGGGAGGGATGGGTCAGGGCCAAGGACTCTCTGGCTTTGCCCGGAGAGTCTTGGGAGAGGGTTGTGGCGTCTCCTGGGGCAACAGGGCTGCGGCAACAGTGCTGCTGCGGTGACGTCTCAATGGGGGTGGGGGGCGGGGCTGGGGAGGGGAGGGTCCTGGACCGGGCTCTAACAGGGACGGGGCAGGTGGCCTCTGCCGCGTGCACCTGGCACCCCGTCACAGCACCTCTTGGTCTCCCATTGGAGAAGGGGCACACATGAAGCTCTAGGGAGTGGTCTTCTTGAAGACCCTGTTGCTTGCTTGAGTGGATGTGAAAGAGGACCCACCTTCCATCTCTCTCCCTTGGTTGGGGAGATTCAGAGCTTCCTAAGGGCACTCTCTCACAAAACCCTGTTCCTCTTCCAACCCCTTGTGTGCCCTCTATATGAGTGAGGCATTTTTTGTAACTTGAGACAAAATAACAACTGTGTGAAATTAAGACCCAATTAAAGAAGCCCGCTGTGTTTTATTTTTGTTTGTTTCTTTGTTTTGTTTTCCTGCAGAGAGACAGAGGAAACCTGCCAGGCCTAGAATGCTAGCACTGAGAGGACACTAAACTAGCGCAGGTTTAGCTAAACTCGTATCAGGCTTGTAAAGCAGTGAAGCTGAGTGAGAGCACTTTGCAACTACGATGTTCTGAAAACCCTGTTGAACTCTGTGTTCTTGCCTACATAAAGCAAATGATCAGGAAGCATAAAACAGAGCTCAGGCAATTTGCCCTTGTGTTTACCTGTAGATCCATTTTTAAATAAATTTTTCACATAGCGCTAACCCTGTGATCTTCATCCTAAATCGGGGTTCTGATTTAATTATATACAAACCGTGAGAATCCAGCCCTACTTCCCTGCTGATACTGTGCTAAGGTACGGCTAGTTCTCTGAAGTATAGTCTTCCTGAAGTGATGATAGAGCATGCTAAAGTAGTCGATTGTATCAGGTCAGAAAACTGGTTTTAATGTATTAATAACAAAAATAAGCTAAGTTGGCCTACCATTTTAGAGTTTACAGAAACTTTTCACGTGTTGTGCATTTGATCCTTGCAACAACCCACTCTATGAGGAAGTGGGTCAGGTGCTGTTTTTACTTCAGTTTGACAGATGAGGGGTCCTGGGCCTAGAGAAAGGACGTTGCTTCCTTATGTTCACATATTTAGTATGGGGTGAACCCTTAAATCTTATCTCAGATAAATTTCACTCCAGGTCCAGGTCTCTTTCCACCACACCTCACTGGCCTCTATGTAGAGTTCTGTCACTTGCTTCATCTGATGTCAGAGTCCAGCGACCTCTTTCAGAGAGGTCATGGTCTCATACAGCCCAGCAGAGAATCCGAGAAACATTTCTCCATGGCTGATCTGTGTCTCCCGTGTCCAGGCTCCTAGGCCTGATACTCTCCAGGAGTAAAACTTGCCTTTGTATCAATTAATCAGCACCTCCTGTCCCCCACGCCCACTAACCTTCTGCCTGCAGCCAACCAGAAAGCAAAACCTACTTATTGTAGACTTGGGAGCCATTTCTTCACCATGTTGCTGTAATACAAAATGGAAAAAGGGGTCTTAATTTTTATTTTACTCTTTAAAGAAACACTTCTCTGGTCATCATCTCTTATAGTTTTTACAACAAACGTGGGAGAGCAGCAGGCTACGGTCAGTATCCTCACATGACAGCGAGTAAGCAAGAGCAGCGAGTAGGGGCAGGAAGCAGCTAACCGACCTATCCAAGGCCACCTACGTAGTAAGTGCAGAGCCAGGATGATATCTCTGGGCATTCAGGCACTCTGATTCCCGGTCCGCTGTGCCCTCCATGGCTCCATGGGGCCACTTCTATGATGCCAGCAACAGTTCTTTCTTTCATGTCCCAATTACCCTCCTTGCTGCCTCCCACGTTTGCCATGCCCACTCCCATCTCTCTGCCTATGTTCACCTTTTTCTCATTCTCCTAGGAGCAGTTTTTCTCCTCTCCTCTGTCTGTATAAATCTTACATGCCCTTCTAGTCCCGGTTTTGCAATCCCTTCCTACCTCCTTTCCAGAAGCGTCAGTCCACCTCGACCTCTGTCTCCTCAGAAACCAGTCGCACTTACAGCCTGACTACAAATGGCTACTCTACTTCTTTCCTACGTGTGAGGTTTTTTTTTTGTCTCACTGTTATTCCCTACTGGGTTTTAAGGTCACTAATGAGTGAACACTTTAAGTTTCTTCTCTCAGTTTCCTCTCTGGGTACCCTGGTGCCTGGAACAGTGCCGGCTGTATAAAGGGCCACCGCACATGTGTGCTTGTGGATTAAGTCTATGCCTCTTTTTTCCCCTTGAAATGGCTACATCTTTGAATTCCTTACAGTCGCTAGCACAGTGCCAGGCGCAAAGAAGATGCTAACAAGATTCTTTAAGCTGACTGAATATGTCCTCTTGAATCTCCTATCGTTTCCATGATATACAGGAAAGTGCTTTGGATCCATCATGGAGATCTATTAAACCTTCCTAGTTTGTGTGTATTTTATGCAAGAAGACAGGCTTTGTCAAAAAAAAAATGCCATGAATTATTAGTTCAAGCTTAAGGTTTAATTTTCTGAGGTCATTGTATTATTTTTATTGAACCCATCAGCTTCTGTATATCTCTTTTTTCTTTATTTTGCACTTCTCTCCATCCATCCCGGGAAGCATATTGTTTAATTCCTATTACTTAAGCGCTCTCGGTAAAATGGAGGTTAATTCGGGTTTAAGGTATACCGTCCGACCCATGAGATTATCATTCGAAAATAAAATCTGTCTGCTACTTCAGCCACAGAATGGGGCTGAACCCAAGACAGCAGAGTCCATCCAGGCCTGAGCTGTGGCGTAAGCAACTGGGAAGCTTTATGAGGGGAGGAAAATATTCCAAGCCCTCTTCTCTTACCAATTCACTCGTGGTTCCTGTTTGAAAGGTCAATGGGCTGAATGGAAAGGAGAAACTTATCCATCTTGCTCCTTCTAGAACCACACCAATTCCAGCACCTCCTGAGTGCCTCTTACTGTCCAAGGCAACAGAATGCTAATATAATACATGCAGAAATAATGAAAGGAGATATAGAAAATGGCACTGAGAATGCCTACCCTTGCCCCACACCATGCGAATGACACATCATAAAAGCCAGGGTGACTCCTGGAATACTATGGATGTCAATAAGTGGTTTAAAATATGGGCAATGTTGCAATCTTCTGTGCACTGTCAGCTGAGGTTTGGGGAGCTAAAAATCATTCAAAAGAGCCAGGATTCTTAATTCCGAATGTCTGGTTTGACTCCTGAAATGGCCAAATTTTGACCGTTTAGCCTTGAGCAAATCACATCGTCTTTCTGAGATGTAGTCTTTTCGCAAGTAGAAAGGAAATACAAATGTTTTCCCTATCTAGTTCATAGGGTTCTGGTACCAATTACATAGAATGATGGCCTTCAGACTTGAACTTCAGCCTTGGCTCTCCCTTGTCTCCGGCCTGTGAGTGCATCCTGTAGATTTTGGACTTGCCAGTCTCCATAGTCGCATGAGCCAATTCCTTGAATTAAATCACTCTCTGTCTCTCTATCTCTGTCTCGCTCCCTCTACACACACACACACACACACACACACACGCACACACACACACTCACACTCATACTCACACGCACACTCATACATCTTATTGGTTCTGTTTCTCTGGAAAACCCTGACTCGTGCAACCTTTTGTAACAGGGCTGGTTCTAAAGAACAGAATCTTGGGGATGAGTTTTCTGAATGGGTGTGGATTTTCTGGATTTGGCTCTTTAATCTGATTATATTTAAAGGCACTAATGATTGTTTCCAGTAGTAAAGAGCACCCTGATAGACCATGTGACAATAGAGATACACAGAATCTCACCACTGGATACTCTTAATCAAATACTTGTAAAAGGAGAGGATCTGGGTGACCATGCATACGATACCTTCAAACATTTTTGTCAAACTAAAGAGTACAATGGGAATTTACGGTTGTTTCTAATGACAATCAGCAAAATGAGAAAAGAAAAGGATGGCTCAGAGATTTCAGTTCCCTGCTCAAGCACTGCATAAATGACCTGAAAACTTCTATGTCTGCCCTGAAAGAGACCCTTCTCTTTTGTAGCCAGGGGGCTGAAGTCGCTGAAAACAAAACACAGAATCTCATGCAGTGATTCTGGCTGAATTACAATGCAAATTGAATTCACCACCTCACTGTGTATATCTACCCTTAAAGTGAAGGCACCGATTAGGAAGGAATGGGATCCTGACTGTTGGAATGGGAACATGTGGGAAGACCTTGATGAGGCTGGGAACATTGAGCCCCTAAACGCTATATCACCTACCAGTGGAAGCAGCCTCTCTAAATCAAGCAGAAGCAGCCTCTCCACTCCAGGCTGTGGAGGTTAACCCTGCCTTGCCCAAGGAAGGTGTGATGGCCTCCCCTGAGGAAATGTCCCTGAAAGACGCTCCTCAGGACCCGGCCCCACCACCCCTCATGAGAAAGGTGTGCTGTACTCCAAAATAGCTACTAGATTTTTCTACTTTATACAGACAGAAATAGAGAGACGTGTGGGGATGGATCTCAAGGGTGTGGGGTAACAGTGGAAGGAACATAAAGTTGGATCAGGGCAAATGCATTGATGTGGGCCCACTAAGCAGAGATTGTGCATTTATTGTTGCAGCTTGGAGAGTTAGAAAGGGCTCTAGGAGTTTGTTTGTTTGTTTGTTTGGCTAACACGTGGCCCAAAATGTGGTCCACAGCAAGTGAACTATAGATCACAGACCTTCCCTTGTTTTACTGTAGAAGAAAGGGTTCGAAGGCTTAGGGAGACTTGAGTGTTAGAGTGCATTTGTTATTTAAGACCTTC